TACCATTTCCACGATCTGACGCCTTGGATTATGATAACTACATCAGCAGAGGACTAATGACAAGATGCGTTCAGCTAAGTCGCCCTGACAACACGAACAAGTTGCTGATTTACTGATTTGCTGGTAGTCTCGAAACTCTACATACATAGACCTTGCCCTTCCAACTTGTCCACGCTGTCACAGCCATATTCAGGATGGTACCCTATTGCTCGGCAACACAGTCGACATCGCGATAGCCATATTGCAAATTCTAGGCTGATTGCTCTGGGTCAATCCAGAGAGGTAGCCTTTGGGGAGTAGTAGGTCCAGAAATCGACTCAAATTGTCTCTTTGACGTAGCTTTGGCCTAATACTCTCTGGCGATGCCGGCAAAACGTCTGGGAATAAAAGTACCGAGTTGACGGTGTGAAGGAGAAAAATGTCATAAATGCCGGAGAACGTTGCGACATAAAAGTCGTACAAATTCGGTATACTGATTGACTGGGTTGCAAGGATAGAAATAATATCTATTCAGTAAAACTTCATGATAAAGTCAAGGGCCTCTCGACGTGTGATCTCTTAACCAAGTCGGACATCAGGCACAACTTCGCTTGGGCCTCATCAGCTCTCCTCATTGGAGGCTGCCGGAAGGAGTCTGATGAGAACTGAAAACTCATTCTTTGGCGCCGGGCCACGATGCGACGAGGCAACGAGGCATCAGACGCCCAAAGCAATTTGTTCGTCGTCTGACAAAGTGAGTGAAAGAGCAAGTGCCTCAGTCAGTGTAGAAAGACGAGATAAGAAGACTATTTGCCAAATACCTAAACTCAGGCGATAATCGCGTCCGTGCAATCTCAGTCGCTTGGACGCGAATTACGCTGTGGCCTCGAAAAGAATTCACGAGTAGCTCACTTGACCACAAATCCGTCGTACAAAAAGCTAATCAGTCAAGCGAAGGACAGATCGAAAGACAAACTGACTAAGTGACCGGACAAAGGAACGAAAGAAAAACTGACAGAGCGACAGAGAAGCTGAACGATCGACCGAAAGACCAACGGACTGACCGACTGGTTGACCGACCAACCGACTGACAAAGCATCCAACCGAAAGAAGAAATGACAGACCGACTGACCTAACCAAGAAATGACCACTGACGAAAGAACAAGTAACTGAAAATACAGACTAAAGACAGACGAACGAAAATACGAACCGACAGGACGGACCGACTGACCGATAAAGCGAGGAAAAACAGATTGACTGACCAAGCGAAATAAGAAACAAACGACGAAGAAACCAAAAGACATAGAGAATGAAAAATGGACCGAACGGTGTACCAAAGTACTGGCCGAACTATCGAATGGTGACAGACCGACTGACGGACTGACCGAGTGACTGACTGACTGACTGACTGACTGACCGACTGACTGTATGACAGACCGATTGTCGGACCGTATGAGTGGATAATCGAAAAGATAAGAAAACACAAATCAAAATAAGCGACGATAGACCGACAGAGTCGACTAACCGAACAAAGTAAAGTCCAAGGAATGTAAGAAAAGACAAAAGATTAGATCAAATGACAAACCGAACGAAGCAGAACCCAAATACTAACCGACTTACTGGCCAACATTTGTCAGAAAGACAGAGGATCAGAGCAATCGACAGACCGTCCGAGCGTCGAACCAAACGAATAACAGACTCAGAGAGCAACAGACTGGCCAAAGAAATTAGAAATGACAGACGATTAGACCGAACGACAGAAGGACCGACGGCAGAACGGAATAACTTACCGAACGACTGATGGATCGAGGTCTTGGCAAACTGACATCAGAAATGACAGATGATCTGATCAACCGACAGAGCGTCAGACCACTGAACCAAAAGACTGATCGACTGAATGACGGAATAACTGGCACAAATGCATCAGAAATGAGAGACGATCAGACACATCCACAGACGGAACCAAACGAATGAGAGACTAAGAGACCTTCTGACTAGCCAAACAACAACAGAAATGACAGAAGATCAAAGCAAGCAATAGACCGTCCGACGGTAGAACACAACGACTGCGAGAGTCACTGACGGACTGACTGACCAATAGACTGGCCAACAAACAGAAGAAATGACAGATGATTAGACCAAAGGACAGAAAGTCAGACAGAGAAGACGAAATACTGACCGACTGATTGAAAAACCGACAGACCATTAGACATCAGAACAGAAAGACTGACTGACTGCCTGGCCATCCGACATTAGTAATGACAGAGGAACAGACAAACCGAAAGACGGGCAGATCGCCGAATCGCCTGAATATCAGACTGACTGACCAACTGCCTGACCAACCGACATTAGAAATGACAGACGATCAGACCAATAGACAGACCGT